AAGCATATGATATTATAATTTTTCCTGGTTGCATTCCTTTAATGTTTGCTTACTGAAATAATAAAATATGTTACAAGATTTTGATGTGATCTGCAACAAAGATTGTATTGAATGTATGTTATTTTATATTTCCTAATTTATCAATAAATTGGACATAAATGTATATTTCTTTTTTTGTTTCATTTTGGTTTGTTGTACTTTAATCATGTACATTAAATGAGACAAGTACATTAAATGACAAGTACATTAAATGAGACAATTTATAGCATTTCATAGTTACTACTATAAGTGTAAGATCAAAAATTGGTTTCCTTGAGCTAGGTTAGCATCAAATAGAAGCAAATTTTAATTGAATCCCTCCACAGTGCATTCAGAAGTCCAGGGGAAAAGCATATTTCTTGGTAACATCTCGTTATATTTATTAAATTCATTGTGGGGAGCAAGTTTTGGGCTAATAGCCTCATTCATGCATTCATCAATTCTATGATTTATTTATTAAGCATTTACTATGTATAAAGCATTGTTTGAGTAACTCCAGGAATGAAAAAATGATTGGGAATGGATTTTGACCTTAGCAGTCAGAAAGCCAAATGAACAATTTTACAAATTATTTCAAAATTGTGCCTTAAAATTTTTTCTTTTTTGATTATTATTTCTTTTGAGGTAGCAGTTAAGAATCTAGCTTCTGGAATAGAAATGTCTGGGTTAGAATTCTGGCTCCATCCTTAATAAGCAGTGACGTTGAACGAGTTACTCATCTGTTTCACCAACTATATAAATGGGATACTAATAGGCAGTGTTTAAACAATTAAATGAACTCTATGTGAAATGCTTGGACCATTTCCTGGTACATTGGAAGTTTCCATTTTTGATAAGTTTCCAGTTTTTGTTATTGTTAATATTTTGGATTCAATATTTGTTATTCAAGCACCTATACCCCCAATATTGATTAACTATGGGGAATTAACATTGTGTGACATAAAAATTTTTCTGGCGTTGGATGTTTCCATGAACATAGTAGTCTCTATGCTATTTTTTACTAGGCGCAAGGCTCAAATTACTCAACAATATAATTTTACCTTCATTAGAAACAAATTTTGTTTTGTATGAGTAAAGCAAATCTTTTTCACAATAAGTAAAGACCTGATTTGACCAAAGTCGTGTGATCAACAATTTTTAATTTGACAAGTTAAACATAAATTGAGAGGAAAATCTACATTTTGCTAATAGATTTAAAAACACAATTGCTAGTTTCATCAAACCCTAAATGAAAACTAATTTTTCTTTAGACATGTTTAACTCTTTATCCTGTATCTAAGTAAAGAACGCCAGAGTTTATATTCAAAAGTTCGTTTGTTTTTATTGAAGAGATGAAATTTCGTG